AAGAGCAATAATGTAGGAACAGTGCAATCAGTATTGTTTGCAAATGTACACTTGATGCACAAATATGGAATAGTGATTTGGAGTCTTTACCAGTGGGCAAAACAAACATCAAGTTTCAGAGAAGAATCATTCAGTTTATAAAATGCACTAACATCTAACAAACTTCAGTTTTCTTAACTCTAATTTCAAAATTTTGAAATACTTCCAATGTGAATAAAAACATTTGTGTACTGACAATTCACAGTATAAATTTAATACTACTCTTTACTGACAATATTCTGTCACTATTTCTGTAAGAACATTAACAAGCCAAGAACGTGGTGTAGATCACATTTTTATGGAGTAATCCTCCATTAAACTATACTGTAGTGCTATACTATAGAATATATTATAGTCTGCTGTTCATAAGTTGTATAAGGAGTTGTGTAGAGAACCGCCAAGTAGCATCTTCGTGATCATGCCGCTCTGTTGCATCACTACGCAGTGGCCAGAATTCGGAAGGAATTAACACAAAGGTAGGGTTTAGGATACTTCACAGGGGTTGTATTAGCCCCTGTGAAGCAGGCAAACTCATTTTGTTGGGACAAATTTCATATGGAATTGTCCAAGAATTGAACCCAGATCTCCTTGATGAAAGGCAAGCAACTGTGTTCTGAGCCATGAGCTATTGGTACAGTACAAAAATTTCAAATCACATCCTCCAGCAACTGTTCACATTACACTCTCCCCCCCCCCTCCAAAAAAAAAAACAACCACGTAATAATCTACAATCTTACAGTTTTACAATAGATTATGTAAATACACCTCAGAAATTCTACAATGCTGTTGTACATTTTCAAAATCAGACTTTCTTCCTTCTTACAAAATTATTCTATAGAATAGAATCCAAGAAATACTTAGTAATCTGATCCCTCGCTCTGTAGTAGGGCATGGGGAAGGAGCAGGCACCAGCTACAGTAGGAAATACATCTATCATGTGGAAAGTGTAACAGTTAAGTCAGGCCACCAATCCTTGATGTCAAATTAATAAATACAATGTTGAAGGGAATGAGTATTATGAACTTACCTTAGTTGTGGGTCAGCTCTGCTTTTCTTTTCTAATGAAAACTCTATCAACAAGAAAAAAAATATTCTTCATAAATAAAAAATCAACAGCCATGTAAAAAGAAGTGATCATAAATAAGAAATAGTTACAAAAATTTTCAAATCTTTTCGTCTTTTGGCTGCCCATTGCCAATAAGTTCCTAATAATTGTTGGATTTAGACTAATACAGTCATTTGATAATATGAGGAGCTCTTTTGCAGGTTGATACACAATGTAAATAAAATGTTCATACAATAAAATGCATTCAAGTTCCTCTTTGTCTGAAGTGGTTTATTGTACATCTGCAAAAGTAACTTACTTTTTTTTGCATTGTTTTTATGACATTTTATTAAATCAAGTTACAGTGGGAGTATATGCAGAATGTAGGCTACTTGGTGGAATTGAATATCTCATGGAAAGAGGGGAAAATGAGGAAAACGCAGAGGTATCAAAAAGTTTCACAAGTTTTATTTGACAATCTAACATTTGTAGGCTACATGATTTTCTGAATATTTTTAAGAACTAAAATATTCAATTAACTAAATAAGCCTTTTTGTTTTATTCATATAAAATTAATTTTGAGTAGATAATATAGAATAATTAAATTAATCATTGTTTAACACAAGTACACTCTATAATACATGATATACGCCAATATTTAGAAACTCTTTGGAATAGTAGAACTAGATATGTTCCTATATTTCTGCCTTCAGATTACTTATCTCTGACATCAAGTTCAACTATTTGTATTTTGACCAACTAACAATGTATTCAATTATAAAGGGCCATTTATACATTACTTACTCTATTATTATAGTTTGTCATGCATTAGAAGCCATTTTAAAATGATTTCCACTAAAGTGAATTTATAAAATGCTGTACAAATATTTTTTCTAAAATTTCAAATTATTTCGTGTGATTTTAATACATTGCTTTTATGTCAATTATAATACTTCTTGAAACTTGTTACTTACAAATACTTCTTTTGACTTTTGTAGACTATCTTCCAAAAATTTCTATATTACTGAATAAAAAGATTGCATGAAAGAGTGGTTAAAATAGCAAAATTAAAAATTAATAGCACCATAACATTTTTAGCCACAAAATTGTTAAATCTAGGTGTTCAAAATATATCTGACACCAATGCTTGTTTTTCGGGTTACTGAAACTGACAATACATATTTTGACCCCTAATTTCTTACTGGTATGAACTGTAAGATAATAAGCACATCTAATTTACATTTGTAAAATTTATCTATTACATGTTATGTTCTCGAGTTTGTAACAAGTTTTCCTCCAATTAAAACAAATTTAAAATTGACAGATGATCTGCTGGGATGCAATTACCCAATTGTGAGCTTCAGATTTTGAAATTGATGCCCCCAATTGGATGACTCCATCCCAGCTGATCACTTAACAACTTTAGATTTGTTTTAATCAAATAATGTAATGGATTAACATTGATAATAACACTTATAATAACACTAATTGAACTGAAAAACATTTTTTGAACACCTTATATAAGCTGCTAGCAGAGAACATTAATTTACAAAATAAAAATCGGATCAGAAAACTGTTGGCTCTGTGAAAGGTATTCTTGTCTTAATTTTTGTAAGAAGTGCATCAACTCTCTTGCACTTTGAAAAACAAAATTATTGACATGAACTTTGTAGAAACTGCAAGGACTTTAAAGGATTATTAAACACAAAAAGAAAAGTATATTACAATTTTTTCTTTCTGTTGTCAACTTAAACACTCTCTCACAGTTGCATATTTTCCTATCAGCAACAAACAACTAGTGGATAAAGCTATTCTATAAAAAAACATTTTTGCGTAACATGACATAACATCTATTTATATATATCATATGCAATACTTGTAATAATCATAGCATGTCTGGAATAGAAGATTTTGAAACTAAAAGTATTTTTATCTCAGAATGGTAAAAAGATTCTGAATTTATTATATCTACTGCTAACAAAACGCACAGAAGAAGAAAAATTAAAACATTTCATTGCAATTTAAATGTTTGTGCATTGAAATGGTTTTAATTCATTTGAAGCATTTGAATGAGTGCAGTTAAATGAATAGTGGAATCATAACAGTACCTTTAAAACTTTTTAAAATTTGCATTAAAAATCTTAAACATTTTAAGATTTTAACAGAACACAAAAATAAAATATTGAAAATGGTGACTCATTTTTATTTAAAATAAGTCAGCATTGTACTCCTATTAAAGAGTAATATTACTAACATTTGTTCTTTTATTGGAACATTACTAACATTGAAAATGTTGTCAATACTGTGATGTGATTCTAATAATTCTTCCTCTCAAGTGTCATAATAACTTGCAATTAGATATAGTACCCTTATCTAATTTATTTACAAGATAGATGGAAAAGTAATACTGCTAAACAATATCTATTGCAAGCAGAATAGCAATTCTCATTCTTGAATGACATAACACAGTTCTGTACAGGAAATTTCAAGTCTGTATACTTGTCTGCTTGTTGGCAGATATCTTAGTCAATGGAAACATATGTCTGCTCATCTGCTATTGTCAGTCAATACCACAGTATCCCATTGATGATATTTATATTCTTGACATAGAGAAACAAACAAAGATGCAATTGACACAATGATGTGAATCAAGTTTTGTACAAATATCTTAACCATTAAATGGGAAAAAAATTCTTGTATCTTTAATAATAACCTTTATGTTGACAATTTCTTTTAAGAAGGCACATAAATCAGTTTGTTATGTCTCTTTAAACAACATCTAAAAATAATTTTACAATCACATGTGCATTAATAGAATGATAGCTAAAACACTATAGTTGATCAACCGACCTTTGTCTCACATTTTACTGGAAGAGAAAAATTCAAAATCTGAAGCATACATTAATTCTTCACCGTAAATAGTATCAATTTTTAGACATTTCTTTTAAGCATGCTTTCATAGTAATTTTAGTATAGTACGTAATTGAAGTAAACAATTTGAACACTTTCACATGTTTTCTTGAAGTTCATTAGCTCAAAATCTTTGAATTATCTAGCACATGTTCATAACATCTGTTAAGTAGTCAAAATATTTTCTATGATCATTGAATAATCATTTCATCTGTTGATAAATATAAATGCAATCAATCTGGAGTAAGTTTTTCAACATCTAGAGTGGAAGTTGAAAAAATTCCTTTAGAAGATGATTGAATGTCTCTGAGATTTACAAAATTTAAAAACCACACAATGTACAAGGTTTATACATTCATAGGCTTCTTCATCACTGTTGATGACAGATAATGGTTGTCACTAGATATACACTCTTTCTTTTCATCCTCACAGTTTTCACTTTTCTATCACTTAGAAGCATAAAAAAGATAATGGCTATTCATATATTTTTTTATGATAAAGAGATTTATTAATAAAGTGAAAAAAAGTCTGTTGTTTTGAGCAAAGTGAGGGCTACTTACAACTGCTATGAGCAGTTACAAGCTAATTCAAAACAAAATTTGTGGTAACAATACTTTGTCTTGTGAAATTTTTGAAATATAATACTATCGATTTCAATTTCATATTGACTATACAAATGTACAATCAGTCAATATAATCAATATCAATATGTTGTTAGCTATTCTTGATTCCTTACTGTATATGGAATTAAATCTGCTCAATTATTGAGGAATCAAATAATCAATGAAGACAAATAGTGTTCAAAATGGAAGTAATGAAACCTCTCTTATTGTAAAATCAATACAAAATCTTAATGCATATACGTGTTCTAAGAGCACTGTACACTTATGAGAAAAATGTGCTTGTTTTATAAACACTTAAGATATGTATTTCATTTTTTCAACCAAAATATTCAGAAAATATATTACATTTTGTTGAATTGATATCTGAATTTAATAATTAAAGAAAATCTTTACATATGAACAAGTTTGTACACAATATTTGAAATCAATTCGAATAAATATATACATAATCTTTTATTACATAAGGACACTAATCAAAATGTTTCTATTTTCTAAATTCAGCGATATATGAAGATATTCATCAGCCATATTTGAACATATGAAAATATATTTACAAAAGTTTTAAACTTCTAAATTCAACAGTTGGAATGCATAACAAATATGTACAGATTTCAATATTATTCTATATTCTAAATAGCTATTTCTCAATATCTAACTCAATAAGTTTGATTAACACACCATCTTGTTCTTATGTTAAAATGTAGAGTTGGCATTGTGTAGAACAATAGATAGAAGGGGAGTAGGTGAACACTATACCATCATATTAGTCTTAGAAATTCACTAAAGAAGCTCAAAGAGCAAATCCTTGGCGATGCAGTGCAAGAGCAGCTTGATGGGGAGTGATTTCAGGTGCTGGAGTATTGCTCGCAACACGATTATCAGTTGGGGGTCGTGCACCACAGCACGATGACAATGAAGCAGCCACAGCAAGCGCTGCAGCCAACACAGTAACACCACAAATACCTCCACCTAATACATCTCCAAGTGCTTGACCAGGTGTTGGTTTCAATGCTGCCATCACAGTCATCAAAATTGTTTCCAAAATTGACAGTGCACAAGAAACAGTCATTCCTGAAACATGACAGGATATTCATTATTGTTTTTTAATTTCAAATTCTTAAAACAGAAATCTCTATTTTTAAAAATAAAGAACATTAAGATTATATTCTATTGCATTAAGTTGACACATCAAAATCTTATGTTAGTTTTTCTGAAGAAATGTATGTCTTGAATCATATGATTTCAAAGAAAAGTGTATTGAGAAAACTGTGGTGCCAAGATTCAGAATGTAATGTTTATATTTTGTTTTGACTAAGAAAATATGCTGTCAAATATCTTATTCCTGCATAAAACAGAAACCAGGTTTTATAACTAATTATTCAACTCATAATAACTCCACTGATAAAATAAAGAATTCTGTTTGTATCATTCAATCAGAAGCCTTTTCTCCAAGAAAATATTGTTTAATCTCATTCATTTTATTGCCTTGATGTGCAATTGAACTAAATGGATTTTGTGAGAAAAAAATTAGTTAATTGGAAATATGCATGCAAGAATAAAAAGCAATTAAAATAATTGGACATTCAAGTGCCCCATCCTTAAAAACACATTTACATTTAAATCAGAAATTCCCAACTTTTTTCTTGTATCGACCTCTTTTAAAAGAATGGTTTGCTTCATTAATCCACAATTTTTTCTGTAATATGCAGCAAACAAAATTATTATAATACCAATAATTGCACAAAAATGACTTAAAGATAACCATTAGACAAATAATATGCGCAAGGTTTGTAAAAATGGTTATATTTTTGGATATGGACCCCTAATCGACCTCCATTATCAACCTTATTATCGACTATTATCAACCCCCTTTAAAATGCAATCAACCCTCAGGGGGCCCGATAGCGATCGCGTTGGGAAACCCTGATTGAAATGAAAGAGCATCCCTCTCATTTTGTGAATAACATATGCCCTACATCAGTAACTTCAAGTCTTTGAATTAAACTTCATGAATGTACCATGTCAGTAAGTGTGTATTTTAAAACTCTAAATTCAAATGTCAAAAGCCAATTTAAATAAGGTATACAACTTGGTAATATGCATTAAGGCATTCTTGTAAAGTAAAAGCAATTTAAGAATTTAAATTAAATTTGTTTCCATGAATTTAGTATGATGAGCTATTTACTTATTTCTTTGTTAAAATACTTTTTTTTCTATTCATATTGATTACACTGAAATGACATATCAATGAATAACTTGTATGTATATGTATTAAATAAAAATCAATTCCATTTCTGGCACATTTTTCAGAAGTTTGTAATGCATTTGAATTATTCATTGTTGTGTTTTACATACAACAAAAATAAACTATTTTTTTTATTGAATTGACCAACATTGTGAGAAGCTAAAGCAACTTCTGTTGTCATACCTGAGAGGAAGTTTCGATTTGGTGGTAAATACCACCGTCGAACTCTGAATGCAAGCAGAGATAATCCTAAAGCAACCACCCCAGCAAGTAATCCAAAGTCAAGGTAGTACCTTCGACCCTCCTGGTGAACAAAAAAAAATTAAGCAAATTATTAACATGTAGAAATCATTCATTCTAAACATGAAGAAAATGTACGAACGTTATGTTTTTATATAAAAAGATATTTGGTAAACATAATTTATAATATTAGAAGAGTAGATAACTTTAAGTATAATAATTTCATATTTCTGATACAATTGTTTTATCTTCTAAGCTACTCAATTACAATTAGATTACCATACAATCTAAATGAATATACAGAACTTTTATTTTAAACTTTTGTATTGGCAATTTCATTTAACATCTTTGAAAGTAACCATTTGTTTTCACTTGGAATAAAATATAATCCTCTTGATATCAATAATTATATTAAATACCTTTTCAACTAATTGCAAGGCTCATTTGCATGCTGTAACCATAGAAAAAATATCACTTAAATCAGTTTCTCCACTTCTTAAAATTCATGTACAAATTTTACAATTGAAAAAAAATGAAATGTTAAGTACTTCTTTTCATTACTCAAAATATTTACTTACAAGTAATGATTATATTGGTAATCAAATTGAGATGGTATAATTTATGAGGCTCATCAAATAAATATTTACCGTTGCCAGCAAGTACATGCCAATGAGCATAATGGCAGTTCCAGATGATGACAGTACAATGCCCAGTGCATTTAGACAAGAACTGGAATTCACAGGCTCAGATTCACTGTGTATTTCTTCATGCCAATTAGTACCTCCTTTGCCTTTAGGTGATGTTTCTTTGAAATGCTTACGAGCGAGAGCTTTAGCAACAGCTTTGATTGGCAATGGAGCTACAACTGCGGTTGTTCCAATAGTGCTCTGTCCTGGACCACCCTGTTGGCAGAAACATGATTAGAAATTCAACATTAATGAATATTACTATTGCAACAAAGAAAGAAAACTTGGAATAATTTTTTAAATCTTCTAATTCTCTTCTCAGTTTTAATGTTCTTCAGGGGGATGAAGAAAATCTAGAATTAAGGGTGTAATTTTTGTTCTAAGTAAACTTTCGGCCTGCTTATTTTTGACACTAAGCCCTTCTGCATAGTTCACTTGTTAATTTTTTCTTTCTGATAAATAATTGAGTGGTATAATGCATTAACAGACTAAGCACCTAATTTAGGAAGTCATAAATCTTTACATAACTGGTATGTTTGAGAATTAACTACACCAGTGCAAAATATCAGTATTCTATTAAATATTAATGCTATTTCTTATTAAATAGCATGAATACTTTAAGCAATTTTAAGCAGTTTCCTGTAAGAATACATAAGATTCTTAAACTTCAAACTGTCTTTTCTTGCTAAGTTGAGAATATTGCTTAACTGTCCAATTGATCTCTTTGAAAATATATTAATTGAAAGGAATTTTCAGGAGAATTTTCAAGATATGGAAAACAAATTACACTTGTAATTAATTTCTTATTAATTTTGATTCTTTCTACTGAACATGTTAAGATGTTACGATATTGAATAAGGAAAACATGTAGGCATAAATGTCAATAGGTTGCAAATTATATTTGCTTCTTCTCAAGGGGTAGTCCATAAATTACGTAATGCTGATGTGGGGGTAGAGGTTTGAGGTAGCGTTATGCTGTGTTATATAAGGGAAGGGGGTCATAGTTTAGTGTTAAGTAATGTTGAAATTTATTTTTACATTTTTTCAACATTTGCTGAAATAATTCCATTTATTCAGTCTTATACGAAAACATTAAAATACTAAAAAAAATTATTAATTAAATTTAAATGTTAAAATTAATACATTTTGAATAAGTGTAAAATTAAATATTAAAATTAATTAAAAAAATTAAAAAATATAATAATTAAAAAATTATGATATATAAATGTTACAAGGAATGGAAACATTTTTACATCAATGTTTCATCAATTGATTGTTTCTGTTAGAATATGAAGAAAATATTCACAATTGATGTATAGTATATTCTAGAATTCAATTAAATTGGCACAGTAAACTCAGGGCCCAAGCGACATCTACGATGGTGTGTGCACAGTTTGCTGTCAGGAATTTTCTTTCTTACACATCCTTTATTCAAATACTGTTTCTAATCTTATTATTAGATGCGGTCCATATTGCCAACTAATTCTGACTTTAATTAGGATACATTTTAGTTTATTACACAAATAAAATTAATACTACGTGTAGTTACTGCTTTATAATTTATTTTTACATATTATAAATGGAGGGTGAACTCGTTGGAAGCATTACATAATTATTTAGGGAGGCAGAAGCATGCATTACAGGGTGAGAGGGAGTTCTCAGAATACTTCAAATTTGTTACGTAATTTATGGATGACCCCAAAAGACAGTTATTTAATTGATTCTTTTGAATATTTTGTTGTTATTTAAGGTCGCATCAACTACTAGGTCATTAGCGTTGAATATTTTATTAATAGGCTTACCAATATTTTGATAAAAAAAGTGACCAAAGTTTAAGAAATCGATTGGAAGTCCAAAAATGAAAACCACTTAAATCAATGTCATTAAATGAATTAACAATCAGTGCATTAATTTGCAAGCATATTTAAACAATTAAGGACTCAATAAGTTATTTATATTGAAATGAATAAAAATAGATATCACAATTTAAGAAGCGAATTTATAAATAATATAAAAAATAACATAATGAATATTAAAGAAAATGTTATGCCATTGTGTCCATTGTAAAGTCTTGAGTTATTGGGACTATATCAATTCGGAACTGGTCACCTTTTCATGACACTTTAAATGGTTTTGGGCCTAACATTTTCTTAGTGGCAGTGCATCCAAGGGTGTTTAGAACATCCCCTTGCAATTTTTACAAGAATAATATAAAACCTGAGGGTAAAATAAAAATAAATTAACTTCTTAAATGATATAGGCAATTTACAAGTCTATAAAATTTGTGAAAAGAGAGGTAGGAATGAGAGTTATTATCAATATTTCTCATGGAACTACAGGAATATAGTATAGTTCACAACTAGGAAGTGTACTTAGGGTTATCATCCATGAGTATAACTGAAATCAGTTAACTAAAATCTTGTTTCATTTTTAATTACTCTTTCTTGACAAATACTCATGCACTGTGTAAGTCAACAAAGACTACACATTTCTTCTCTCCCTCTTTCCCCAACAGATTTTTCCTAGCTGCTAAGCCAGTGGTCTCTTTGTGATAATGCAAGTGGATCAGTTAGTGACACAAAATTACAAGGATTACAATAGTCTTCCAAAGTATTTTTTTGGAGGTGAGAATTACCTCCCTTTCTGCCTATCCTTGTCTGAACCCATGGGAATCTTACAAGCTCTAGGCCTTGGTCTATTGTGTCCATTTGTGCAAAATATTTGAGTCACCATCCTTCCTGCCTCCGCTTGGCTATCCCCATACGAGCTCTAAGCCCATCTCTAATGTGGTTTTTGATGAAGATAGCTCCTAGAGGCTCACCTGGTGCCTTATAAAGATTACAATAGTGTAAGAAGAATCTTCCAAAATAGTGTTTCTTGGAGAATAACACCCACTCCGCCTCCCTTTGGCTACACTCTCAAGCTCATTATGAGCTCTAGGTCCAGTTTGGCGGGTGTGTTGTATAAGATGGCTGCTCATGGTGCTCCCTGGTGCTCACCTGATGCCCCACCATGACTACAGAAACACAAGCAGGTTCTGCCAAAATATTATTTTAGGGGAGGGGGGCATTGCAATGTTAAACTAATGTATTAATAAAGGTATTTCTTTTTCAGGTTTATTACTGTTATTGTTATTGTTGTGGTTTTTTGTTGTTGTTATTATTGTTGTTATTGTTGTCGTTATTGTTTTTATTATTTTTTAAATATTATTATTATTATTATTATTGTTATTATTATTATTATTATTGTTATTATTATTATTATT